TTCTCATCGCTTCTAAACCGTGCAACCATCTTATGCTACGTTCTTTTAAACAAAACGTTTAACAAGACAGCCGGCTCCTGTCAGCTTGCTGATGGTTGATTATAGTCATGTGGACAGCGGTGTTCATAACACGGCGTCTCTCTTTAATAAAAGGCGCCATGATGCAAGAAATGTCGTCCCAAATCTGTGTTGATCCGGGCCTTTCCGGAAAGGCCCGGATGAAACCCTTTTGAAGAGATCCTTCATGACTATAAAAGCAATTATGACAAGTCAAGTGTAAACTGTTTAGTGTCGGTCTCTCTGACAAAGGCTGGACAAGTGCACCTTTTTTCTTGCGAAGCGCTTCGGGGAAAATTCACAGGTTCAGTTTGCTGGTTGATGGTTGTTTCCATCAAGAGACATTTGGTTCAAGGATAGTGGATGCTTCCACTTAGGCTTCCTCGGTTCTCTGAGCACACCCGATCACACCCCGCTTCCAAGAAGTGTGCGAAATCTACGACTCTAATTCGCTTGGCGGTGTCGAACAAGGGATTGGTGAATTGCAAACGAGAAGGCTGATCTGCTATGTTACTATGTGAAGGAACTCTGCCAAACCAGCTGTATATCTTGATTCGTTCTTCCAATCGGACAAAATTCTGCACCATGGATTTGGTATGCACAGTTGCTCCAACACCCTGTATGAAAGCACTGCGAGCAGCTTCGTTGTCAATATAAAAAACAACTTGGCCACCAGCGATGTAGGTAGCCCAGAGCGAAGCTGCCATCAGGACTGGCAGGATTTCCAACTCATATATGGGATGCTTTGATGTGCCCAGCAAGATCTCCAAGAACTCGGCATTGACTCTTTCTCCAAAAAGTTCAATCAAAGTCCCGTGCGGGCTGACAAGAACGCCTCCCACACTACCGAAACCCTGGTCAGATTTCTCATACGCTCCATCGGTGAATACTAGCCAAGTCCAACACAAAGCTCGACTAACCCTCACAGGTTGGGACTGCTCCACCAATTTCTCAAGACCCTGCAAGGCTTCAGCCAGCGAACCCTGGACCAAGACCCTGCTAGTGCGAACCCGAGAAAATTCAGATAAAGTCCGAACAAAGCCATTCATCAACCTACCATAGATGAAGGAGCTGAACCAGACTAGTCTCCCATGCAATCGTTCGAGCTCTTTTGGAGCAGCGGCTGCTGCCTTCAGAATGGAGCGTAAGCTATTGAGCAACTCGTCACGCCTCTTCGAGGTATGCTGTATCGAAAAGGTTCCTGAAGTGACCGTTGAGACATCTATTATCAAACCCAAGGACTTGAAAGCACTTTGGAAGGGTGGAGCTTTGTCACCTGTGGCGGCGTATTCGACTCCAAGCAATTTAAACAATGACTCAACGTACCATCCGACGTTATCAGCCTCCTCCTGTGTGCACAGTACAGTAAAGTCATCAAAGAAACTAGTCCAGGTGATGTCCAAACCATATGTGCCAATGTATGCGATGCTGCAAGCAACTCTGAGGAAACTGGTGACGCTTCCTGAAGCTCCGAACGGCAGTGCGTAGACTTTGAACAGGCCGTACGAGCCTCCGGGTTTCCGCACTGCGATGTTCAAAAACTTGCTGTGCCACTCATCCACACCAAACTGTTTGTAAGCATGTTTAAGATCAAACGTGCGTCCTACCAGAGCAGGGCATGCAGCACCTTCGGTAGAGTCAAGGATGTAGGCAAGGTAAGCTGTGAGTTCATCTATGCTTTGAACCCGAAGCTTCTCTGTCATACCGTAGGCAGAATTGGCTCCACAGATCGAGAAATCATCGATCAATCGCACTTTGCTTCCTTGCACCAGAGGAAAACGCTTGGCAATGACACATTCACTCGACCCATCGCTAACACCGAGCCACCCCTTCTGAACCTCTTCCATGGTTTCGTCCCAAGCATACTGATCATGCGGACCTTCAGTGCTGTTTTCCAACGAGCCCGTGACCGCCGCATTCAAACCGGCTGCTCTTTTCCGCAGTTCCTGGGTTGTCAAACTGGGCTTTCGAACATGCTTGTGGAACACTCCAGTTTGCGGCGCCCAACCTGTCAATGCGAACCCTTTTACAACATCATCGATAACGGCTACGTCAGAGTATGCAAGGTCAATCAAGATCTCCTTCCACAACAAGAGCCGTTTACCCATCAGGATGGGGACCAAGTGTGGCGCAAGGGAATCATGCAACTTCTGCTCGCTTTCTTTCAGCTCCAAGGATCTCTTAAGCCATTTCTTCATGAAGGCTGCACGCTTTTGGAAACGAACAGAGCAAGGTTGATGCACCAAATTCAAAAGCAGGTCCCGCTCGGCGTCCCGTATGTTTGCAATGATGTCTCTAGGGTGACCCTTGTTCAAGGCTTCTTGTATAAACTCACTGGGTTCCCTTGGGATGCCAATGTTCACTACTTCACATTGCCCATCCGTGCCACACCTCTCGTCAACGACAACAGTGCGTGATTTCTGTGCCATGTCATCCCGATTCCACCCCCGCTGCTGGAGAACCCGATGACAAATGCGAGCTCCCTTGGGGAGTGTACGAAGAGTTTGCTCCAAAAATTCGGACCTATCAGGCAAGGTTACCACCGTTACATAACCCGAGAACTCAGAGACCAACGGCCTGAGACGACGACCTCTAGGTTGTGTTGTAAACAGCTGGCGTTTTGCACTGACATTGGTGTGGTCCAACTGTTGGTGCAAGTCAGTGGGAAAAATGAAGCCCGCCTTTGTGGCCTCTGTCCTCAAGATGTATGCAACGCGCTCACACAGCAAGTGCGGATAAGCGGCTTCATCTGCTGTTGGGAAAATTCGTTTCCCTGAGGCGTCCACATAGGGTTTCCAGGGCGCGTGTTGGTGTTGTTTGTTACACTTCAGTGCCAAGCTCGCGAACAAATCCCTCTGCGGATCACGCGGGTTGAAGCTATACCAAGCAGTGTCTTTATCACGCTTTCCCCCGTGCATGCAATGGTGAAAAGTGCAAACATGGTAGGTTGGCAACTTGCCCAACAAATGCTTTAAGAAGGAAGTCTTCCACAACAAAGAGTTGCGAGGGTTTTCAATGCTGATGCTGACTCCCAATTCCACCAAAGCAAAAATAAGCTCCGACATCGCTGCATAACTTCTGTTAGCCTCTGACACCCTTTGATGCTCCGACTCCGTCAAGTTGGGTAGGCCATCTGGATAAGCATCGCTCCTCAAAGGCTTTGGAGCGGTTTTGAAACCTGGAATTGGCCGTTCTCTTGCACGCGAAGCAGTACCACAGCTTGGAGCAAAGTGTGCATGCAAGATGGCACTTCTCTCTTTTCCAGATAAGTGCGCAAATTCAAGAACTGTTCTTCATTGGTAATGTCACAAACGTACACCGGAAAGTTTTCTGAACGGCCTGGGTCCTTGTCAATCGCAGTGCACCTGAAGTCAAGCGAATGGCAAGCTTTCGAGAGTCGACAACTTCCTGAAAAAAACTTCCACGAACAAGCAATCGGTTCGGGCTGAATCGTTGTGCAAGTCATGCATAGCCGGCTCAATGAGCTCCTGCATAGCCAGTCCATTGTCCTGTCTCGCAGAAGCCGGCCCTTGTGATGAGCAAAAAGTGGGTGAAAACAACTGCCCTGCTTCATTCCGTTTTGTTTCATCGTTGCAGGGCTCATGGCGAGATAGTCAAGATGATTCTTGACAGTTTGCAGCCCCGTGGCCCGTCTTCAAGCAACGCATGCATACATGAAAACCGAACCTACAGCGGCCCTTCTTGACTTCATTACTGCACCCTTGTTTGAGGTTTCTCTTCCAACAAATTGGTTTTCCATCTTTCGTCTTCAAGTGCAGTCCGGTCAGTTCGGATGGTAACTGGCTAGGCGAACGCTGGGCACCCGGCTTGGGCTGCTTCTGCTTCTTCGGGGGGCGGGTTGGACACCTTGTCACCTTCTTGCTGAATGCTACGTTTCTCACCTCTAGCAGTTGGGGTTAAATGAATATTGATGCGAGGGTCATTCATCAACCTTTGAATGACTGCATCGAGAGGTGGCGGATCACCAACGTTTGCCCCCTTGAGCGAACCATCAAATTCGGCTGCTATAGTTAGGAATAGCTCCTGATCGGCACGAAGCAACTGCTGCAAGGTGATGCTATTAAACCCTGGGACTGCTTCAGACATGAGTGCTCTAAAGAGTTTGTTGACCCATTCCATATGCACTGGCCAAGACACAAGATTGACTAAGTCAAACGCAAGTCCCCGGCGCTGAAGGGCGTACATCAATTTCATCTCAGTCCCAATGTCCACAGAGACCAGGGCATCTGAGGCTGTGGCCTTGATAGTTCCTTGCTCCAAAGTCAATAACTGCTTCTGCTTGTTCTTTGCTTCTGACTGGATTTCAGCATCTCGCGAGCCACACTTCGAAGGTGGCAGGTAAACAACTGCACCGGTCTCAAGAATGTTGAAGGCTGCATCAATCAAAGCATGAGAGGCCTGCTGCTCGTGTTTATGACTGATTCCAGTGATGCGCGTTTGCTGAGCTCTCAACCTCCTCTGCTTCTCGATGAAGGGCAATGTCTTGCCAGGCTCTGTCACATCACCTGCTGTTACCTGCCTCTTGAGATCGGCAACAACTAAAGTTACGGCTTCAAAATGCAAACGCTTCACCTTCGAAACCTGTGCAAGAGTGGCAGCTACTAGGAAAATCCTATCTGCGAATCGCTGCATAGCCTCATCTGTTGGAGCTGTCTGAGGGGCTCCAACAGCGTATGCAAGTGAAGCGAAAGTGACAATGCCAGCATTACTCATTGTATCATATAAATTCGGATCCAGCTCTTTGCAGCGTTTCTCAAACGCAGCTTCTGAGTCGACTAAGGCCATGGCGATGCTAAGCAACCTGAAGCAGGTTGTCTACCTGTTGTATGGCATGCTTCCATACTATGTTTGGTATTCCCGTGGATCCGATTTTGTGTGCTGCTTTCTAGCCATGTTCCAACTACCGTTGATGTTTCTCAATGCTTTGAGCAGACCCGCACTGAACCCTGGCTGTTTCCAAGGTCCTGGATCCAAGACAAAACATACTCCAAACAAGTAAAATTTCAACGAAAAAGGTGTTAAATTTAAGACCTTTTTGCGGCACAAGACGACTCAAACAGACCAAGAAATCTTAGAATTTTCTTTTCTCTCGCTCGAGACACCGGCTGAGTTTCCAACAATGGAACCCTGCCCTTCATGGCCCATGATTGGCCCGGCACCTGTTAGTGCCCTAGATCACAGAAAATGCTACACTTCATACTCTACTTTCTTTTTCCAGCATGGGTGACATAGTGGAGTGTCAAACCTCACCTCCTCCACCACGCCGTATCTTTCTGGCACTGCTTTGCGACCACACAACAAGATGAGCTGGTGTTCCTTCTCCATGCAATGCAAAGTTCGAAGCTTCGTATGCTGCACAAGCTTCAAAGAGTCCGGCACGGTAGGAACACGCAGCGGTCTCCTGGCCCCACTGAGGACAGCGGCACTCTCATCTGAGCTTGTGGATGTATCCGGCGCCTCTGATGATGCATTGTCCTCCTCTTCCCTCTTCGGGCTGTCAGGGTCGACCTCAATGATTTCGGCAGACTCTCGGCTCTGGTTGGTCACCTCAACTTCTCGTGGTTTGTTACAAGGCTCACTGGCTTCGACCCATTCACCAACGAGTGAGAAAGGTGTTGACGCGAAGGATTCGTCCATGGTGCAACCCTCCAGAACCACGTCCCTGAATCTTCCGCTCCTGGTCTCATCTGGGCGGAAACGGCCAACACGCACATCATTGAGCAGCTCCTCCAGGACTCGCAAAGGTCTGGCCATGGCTTCACGACTGTAAGTGATAGTCGACTTGATAAAAGACACGTGCCCACCAAGCACTTGCCTATCCTCCCAAAGGTCACCATGTTTGGACAGCCAACTCAACAATGTGCACTTGCAGCTGTGGGAAGTGATCCTCCGGTCGGTCAGGTCGATCTCACACCGAGCCAACAACATACGGGTCCAGCTCTTCATCTCATCTGTCGTCAACGGCCGTCGACTCGGACTGTTGTCTGCGTTCGGAGCCGGCATGGTTGGGAAGTTGTCGTCAAAACAGATCCCAAGTTGCTCACGCACTTCAACCCAAACTGCTGCCCAATTGTGATCTGTAATTCCGTAAGCAGGGCAAATGGCCGGCAGAAAAGAGTTTCTGAATGCGCTTGACCACTTGCACTTGTGTTCATTGATATGAAATTCCAGAAATGCAAGTTCGCCATAATCGTCATGATCATGCAACACACTCTCCGCCTGCTGAAGGTCTGACCAACGACTTCTGGTGTAGACTGTTGCCAACACCATCCCGGCCAACATACGGTCCCAGATGTCACATGTTTGGTCGGCCAGAATCGAATGCAACGCCTTCAACTCTGTGACTGTGAAGGGACTAGCCTGCCTCTTCGGCCCCCCAGCTTTGGCTCCCGACGCTCCAAGACACCTGCGTGATGTTGTGAGGGGCTCCAGCTCACTGACTCCCATGACATGTTGCACGAACGTCAACGATTGCATAATACCTTGCAAGCGAGAAGTAGGCCGGCCCTCATCCTTTAAGCTTGACAGAAAGTAATACAAATCACCTTCATGCCCAGGAAATGCAATTGTCTGCACCTTCAAAAAGGTAACATAGCGTAGAAAAGAATTCACACGTTTCAACAATGTAGACGGTGCCTTCTTGTGGAAAATGTCACGCAGCATCCTGAGCTGATTCGAGACGTGATCCAGCGCTGTCAACTGGCGAACAATTTCAATGTCACCTGGCAGAGTCATAAGCACGTCATGCCATCTCCTGAGACCCACCTGAAAATCAGCCTCACGCTTGTCAATCCAAGTTGTATCAACGTCAGCTTTAACTATGCTATGCCAAGAGGAGTGTTGCTGTGGAACTCGTGCACGTTTTCCTGGTCGTTCTTCTGAACTCTCAACACCAACAATCACTGGCAAGTTGGCAGCTTCAAAGTCAAAAAGAGCCGAATGAGGCTCAGTGGTTGGATTGAAGAAACCCTTCCAAAAACCGCTCTCCCACGGCAACCGAAAAGTCTGGCTGGCCGAATGTTCACTCCAGGTTTGCTCAACCAGCGTTCCGACCTCCATACGGGGCCGTTTCAAACGCCGAGCAGGAATGCAGCCATCCGCGACCGGGCCGCCGAACCCTGTGGTTTGTTGCCAAAGGAAGGAAAGAAATGAAGGTGCATTGCGACTAACTGCAACACGAAATGCAAGAAATGTACACCCCCGAGCTAATTTGAAGAAAATGGTTCCTCAAAATTTCGGAGGTCCCACCCACCCACACCTTGAGCGGAAACGTTCAGAGAACACAGAATGATCTGCTGATCAGTTACAAGAAGTTGGAACAAAGTAGACTAATAAACTGTGAGCACAAGTGTTGCTTGTGTTGTCTTTAAAAAGATTACACTCACACAGCTTGAAAAGATTACAGTACAAGTTCCAAAAGCTGAGTGACATCAGTGAAATTTTCAGAGTTTTGTTTTTACTAAACAAAACTTTGGAAAACGCGCGTCCGCATGTTTGCGAGCTTGAGCTACCGCCAAGCATTCATACACATCCCGCGCAAAGGAGCACACGCATGCTTGCACTAATCCTATCATAGATAGGATTTTTAGAAGCTTTTAGAATAAGGCATGCATCTTTTTGAAAGAGGCTTAGCTTATTCTCATCGCTTCTAAACCGTGCAACCATCTTATGCTACGTTCTTTTAAACAAAACGTTTAACAAGACAGCCGGCTCCTGTCAGCTTGCTGATGGTTGATTATAGTCATGTGGACAGCGGTGTTCATAACACGGCGTCTCTCTTTAATAAAAGGCGCCATGATGCAAGAAATGTCGTCCCAAATCTGTGTTGATCCGGGCCTTTCCGGAAAGGCCCGGATGAAACCCTTTTGAAGAGATCCTTCATGACTATAAAAGCAATTATGACAAGTCAAGTGTAAACTGTTTAGTGTCGGTCTCTCTGACAAAGGCTGGACAAGTGCACCTTTTTTCTTGCGAAGCGCTTCGGGGAAAATTCACAGGTTCAGTTTGCTGGTTGATGGTTGTTTCCATCAAGAGACATTTGGTTCAAGGATAGTGGATGCTTCCACTTAGGCTTCCTCGGTTCTCTGAGCACACCCGATCACACCCC